GAAGCACTGTCTGACGCGTCTGCCTCCGCGACCCGAAAGGAGAAGCGGCTATGGAAGATGAAGATGAAGATGAAGGGCATCTCGTCTACTCTGCCCATATAGACATGCATACGTAAAGATTACACCGAAGCAAATGACTGTACCGCTTCTCTGTGCTTAATAACCATTTACCTGTTTGGTGATGCCGTTCACCCTTTGGCGTCTGGGCTATTTGTATAATCTGCATTAATAGCGTTAAACAAAATGACAAGTGGTATCGTATGTTAAACTTGTACTTGCAGATCTCAGTTGTTCTATCCTACCAAAGCTGATATAGAAGTTTCACGACTGGTATAGATTGACGGTAGTGTAGGAGTTTCTGGGCTGGTTGTCGACTCTGAGTATATGATTCGGTGGTTCATTATTTTTGTCGTATGAAGAAATGTCTGGCAAAGTCCTTCTAGAGTTCTTAGAAGTAAGGAAAATTGCATAACCTTGTTTCTGAATCTCGCAGTTTCAGAACCGAAGGCAGCATGATGATGATTCAGTGGACCAGAGTGAGGTGCCGAAAGGCGAAACGGCGCTTGATTTACTTACTGCTGAGGAATTGAAGCAGACCACTCATCAGATGACACCGATGGACAGTTCTCAGGTACTGTTTTGACTATTCGTGGACCGTGGTGACAGTCAACATATCTCTAAGGTGCGTAACTATGCTGGCGGATTCGTTTTCAAAGTTGATGAAATAACTCGCGTGCGGCGGTTCCTGATTCTGGGCGTCGAAGGTGGCACCTATTACGTCAAGGAGATGGAACTCGCTGTGGATAACGCAAAGTTCATAATCAATATGATCGAAGAAGGTAAGAAACTTTTAGTACACTTCACCGAAACGATGAGTTGATATTTTGAAGCACATCTGTTGTTTTAGCGGTTATGCTGGAATGATATCTAGGTAGTTTCGAAGCCGTACGTTCATAGTATGTACGCGAGCTCGTAGTTCAGAAACTTTTCACTTGCGGAAAGTTATCTTGTTGTTTCGGTCAAATTTTGGCCTGAGCATCAGTTTCGATGTACTTTAACAGTGGAACAGTGGAAACGCTTATCGTTGAGCTCGAATTCCATGGTTTTTTTTGATTTTGTTGTTGATTGTCATTTACATTCAGTTCTGAAGCGTTTGCTAGGATGGCGATGACAAAGGGATCACAGAATCAGATTAGTGTCGAAACTGGTCCAGACTAGCAACTAGAGTTTCCGGTACCTGGTTGATCGCATTATTACCGTAGATTCCGCAGATGGATAATTACTGAACGCATATTGTAAGACGAGTTCGTTGAAAGTTGCGCAGAGGTAGCAGTGGCACAGACTGGTTCCGTCTTACATATCAAAAAGACGGTTACCCTTCACCACGCTGTAAGAACTTTCATTATCCACCTACTCACCTCGGTTGACGATCTTCTTTGAGTCACCTTCTTTTAAAAGGAAGCTCCGATTACAGACCCAGACGGATGAATTGCGTTGATATTGATCCTATGGGAAGTATGATGAAAAATTTCATCATTCCGCCTTCCCTCTGAACATAGGATAATGACGACTCAGGGATAAGACAGTGGAAGATTTTGATGATGTTTGATTGGAAATACCAGAATTGGGTCCTTATTGGTTTTCAAGGAACCGTTATTAAAATTTTTATCATGTTATTTACCCTGTCAAAAGGGAATGATGATTCACGGAGTAGTCAATGGAAGATTCTGAC